GGAGGGTAGTCTTAAGCTCGGGAGCACGATCGGACAGGCCAAGGTAACAAGATTGTATTCGATAGAGAGCTAAGCTCTCGGCTACGTAGCTATCTATATACAATGCTGGTTGCTAGGGTAACAATCAGGCCGGGCAGGTGGAGTAAACGAGGTCGTAGACGAGTATGGGAGGCGAAGGGCGTTTAGCCCGTTACAAAAACCTCTCTTAAATATTGTAGCTAGAAATAACCTACTTAGATACTTGTAGGCCTAAAAACCCTACACGTCTTATATAGCCCTTTGGGCTGAAAAAGGACGTTAAACTAGAATAATAATAATAATAATAATAATAATAATAATAATAATAATAATAATAATAATAATAATAATAATAGGCGGCTAAGTGCCCGTTAGCTGAGGCCTTAAACAGTGGCATGTGGGATAGAAACAGTGGCATTTGGGATATTTTATAAGCTAACGTCACTTGTGTAGTAGTGTATTTAAAACGGTGGTAGATGGGAAATCATTACGCCAAGCAGTGGTATGGCGGAAATTTGCCGTTTGGGTAGGTGATAGAATCCGAGTGCTCACGCACACCCGGATTCTGTGATTAGTCAGGCGCACGGGCCTACGCCCAATCAAAGTAGCCCCTAGCCACTGATCCATTTGATCAGTGATCAATCAATGAATCAACAACCAATCCATCATAATCAATCAATTATCACGTCCATTAATCACAGTCTTTGATCGAAATCTATCACAATCTGACACAAAGTGACAATCTTGTTAAGTAACGAACTTGTAAGAAAGTACAATATGATGAGTTGACCACAACGAGCGTAATAATGAGATCCGACACATTCTTATACCCATTGCTTCCAGTCCTGTCCTCCCTGGCCTCGCTGGCCTCCCGGAGGTCCAGTCTTGGCGGAATGTCATTTGTCACGTGATCGCCGCCCCGCGGTGATCATTACCTTCTGACGTGGACGTGGTTGGCCTTCAACCTCGTCGTCCCTTGTCAAGGAGACAATTCTTCTTGTTACTTGTAACACTTTTCCTTTCTCCCCTAAAAGATTCTACTAGAGGATTACATTGCTATCTAACATCTCCTTCTGTTATCAAACTGCTCTTTAGCATTATGTATCTAACTTAGAAAGCTAGTAATAGCTTAGCTGGATAAAAGCCAAAGCACCATAGCTATACTACCCCCACCAAAATCTCAATTTGTAAATCAAACCCCATAGAACGGCCTTCGGCCAAACTTCTACATAGCCATAGGCTGATAAAAGACTATAATGGAATAATAATAATAATTTTGTCACATTTGATGAGTCTTCAATCATGGGGTTGAAAACGTGTTGATTGTTGCTATATCTGCAGGTGTCGCCTTTGTGGCTGCTTCCTTTCGTTTTCTTTTTCTTTCTAGGTCTTATGAATGTGATTTAATTAAAGCCTTCCTTCTGAAAAATCTACACATGTACATGATGAGGTGTTTTGCTAGCTAGAAACCTGGCAAACCAGCTTCTTGCCTTTGATCTGCCCCTTGCACACTCGGTCCATGGCCTCGCCCACAGCATCAAGACCGCCATGTTGCAACTCGATAGGATGTGGCTTAATCGAACCTTCATCAAGCAGGTGCTGGGCCAAGACATACCATGCCTCGGCGCAGGCACGGTTTTCTGGACGTTCGTCCAAGTCATATGGCGGCGCCCAATCAATTCGGTGGCCAAACTGCGTGTACCCGCACACCCAGTCTGGCTTGACACTACGGCGGGTGTGTCCACAGAGCGGCAAAGGATCTAGCCCCACATAGCGGCCGCCGTCGGGGCCTATAGCCTTGTAGCAAATATCCATGGATGCTGAGTCGGTGATGCAGTCGAGCACTAGACCCAACGACCCCGACGTGTGTTGAAGAATTTCGGCGCCGCAAGTAGGTGATTGATAGTCGAAACTGGCAACTGCACCTAACGCGAGAGCCCGGGGCGCCCATGCCTTAGAGCATGCGGTTATGGGCGTCAGACCTAACAGTCTTAACACCTGTATTGCTATAGCGCCGGTGGCAGTTCCACCGCCGTAGACTAGCACATACGTCGGTTCAGATTGCTTATTGGTTGTAGTAGTCGGCGGAAGCTTGGCCGTTGCCACTTCCGGCATGGGGATCCCCAGGTGAAGAAACAAGGCCAAACCTACGGTTGCCATAGCCGCCGGCAGCGAAGCTGCAGTTGCAAAGTCAACGGAGCAAGGAATACGCCAGAGGAGCTGGGTGGGGCATGCTGCATACTCGGCGAATGCGCCATTTTCCAGTCGGAGAGGGTTATTGCCAAATATGCCGCCCATGACGCGGTCGCCAATCTGCCACTGATTGGTGCTGACGGCAGCCCCGAGAGCTACTATAACGCCGGAAAAATCTGTGCCGCACGTGGCCCCAGGTGTAGGTTGCATGTCAACAGACTTGCCGTCGACCGGGTTAATACTGACAAAAACGACCTGTATAAGCACCTCGGAGGGGCCCACTGTAGGTAAAACCGCATTCTTCTCAAGTTTGACTTGGTTCCGTTCCTGCACTTTGAGTGCCTTCTGAGTGGCTGGGAGAGCTGAGGAAACTATGGAAACCATGGTAAAGGCAGGCTAGGGTAGGATATATGAAGAGGTGTCTTAAACAAAGTGAACCTATCCATTCCTCCCCAATGAGGCGCCTTTATACACGTACTATGTAATAGCAGTACCCCGCTTACAAGTTGCCCATCATCTTATTCAGTTCGTCGATTGGCTATAGTATTTGCATTAGTCCTGCGCCGGTGATGTCGCTTTCACCCCGCCAAAGAAAGCCCGGTGCTGGCTCGTACACTCTCATTGCATTTGCAGCTCCCGCTTTGCGCACGTAGCCTAATTGTCATCCCACTCGGGACATGGACCCGCCTGGTGTACGCTTATCTAAAAATAGTTAAACTATGTAGATATAATGCGTTAATTAATCTAAGAGTTTAAAAGAAGACATATTCTTAACAAAACTAACACTAGTTAAGTATTTGGGCAAGATTCCTAATAAGCGACAGAGGCTTAGCGTGGGGTCAGAGGTCGCCTGCTTACAGACACCGGAAGCTGCAACTGCATGAGAGTGTAGCATGTGATCCCACATACACCTACTACCACGTCAGCGTAGCAAATAATATAAAAGCTGTATTAAGGTCCGTCCCTGCGTGCCGAAAAACCCCGTGTGCCGAAAGCGACCAATCGGATAGCGACGATTAGAGAGAAGCACATGATCCCTGCGATCCGATTAGTTCTTTTCCGCACACGGGATTTTTTCGGCACGCAGGGACGGACCTTTGTAGGTAAAGTTTATGAGTGATACGTAGACCCTGATCAAAGCAGGGATTTTACGGCTTTACTACGTAACAGACTAATGCGCAGATTTTCACATCGTGAATACCTCCAGAAACCAATATTGGCTATCTTCATTATGGGTAGAACCGAGTCGGCCAAATCCTGGATGCTCTTGCATAGAGTGATTTCGTTGCCAATAAATGAAATAGTAGACTCAAGAAAGGACAAGTGAGTCACAAACTCGGGACGTTAACAGCAGGGTGTGGGGAAAACAAAATGTTTCTACGGGCGGATATCACGGCATTCCATAGTCGAAACCATAGTAAAGGACAAGGGTGTATTGGAGTGAATTGATAAGGTTTTCATCCATGATAACAAAAGAATGATTTTGGAATCGCTGTCTCTCCCGCCTAGGTAGCCAGGCTACTTTTCGCTCGGTGTCACTTCAGCCTCCTTGACCCAGTCAAACTTCGGCCACAGCTCTGCCAGAGCCGGTGGCATCTGATTGTCAACCATGACGTTACTCTGCTCGTTGTTTTCGCCCTTGTAAATAACTACCATGTTGTGATAAAATGTCATGGACACAATGTGTTTGTCGAAATAGGTTGGCATGTATCCTGGAAGCTCAAACTCGACATGGTTTAGCCCGTCGAGCAGACTCTTGAAAAACCCCATGGAAGACTTCGTCGTGTTCAGATCTGTACTGGAGCCCCCCGTCACTTTCCAGTACGATGTCTCCAAATCTTCCACGACATACATGCCCCCAATCTTAAGTAGCGGAAACAAGATTTTGAAAGAAGCAATGACATGTTGACAAAGGTGGCTTCCATCGTCGATAATGATGTCGAAGTCTCCATGTTCCTTGTGTATTTTGTGCAGGATATTTGGGTCATCTTGGCTGCCTTGGTAGATTCGGATGCGGTCTTCCTGCAACGCAGTCTTGTCATAGTAATCCAGACTGATAATCTGGGCCTTGAGAAAGTACTCCTTCCACATGCGCAACGACTCTCCGCCAGCTTGTCGATCGTCGAAGCCACCCACGCCAATCTCAAAGAGGGTAATGTCGCGGTCGCGCAGAGGTTGAAAGTGGAAATCGTAGTGTGGTGCGTAGAGGTGGCCGCCTACTTCCATGGTAGTGCCTTGCCGAGTCACCAGCGCTTTTTCTTCCCTATTTTTGTCCGTGCCGTGCTTAACAGCAAGTTCAGCGAAAGTAGGATTCATTTTCATTAAAGTCCTGACTGTAGCCATATACTAGGTAGCATAAGAGGTTAACGAATCGAGTTTTTCTTGTAGAAAAAATGAGGAAGTTCTTGAGGGTAGAGCAATTAGGAGTGTTTATATAGAGATTGCTTATGAGCACGACTTAGTCTCGGCATGTGACTGTATGTGTGCAAGCACCCCGGATAATCTTTGCACAGAGGAACCGTAAGCTGGGGTGTATAAACATACCTGTGCTCTGACTAGTACAGCTTCATAAACAAACTAGGTGACGGGAACGTTTGATTCTAACATTAAAAGGAATAAATTTGGCACTTGAGAGCCCTCAGCTAATGTATGTATACGTTTTTATGGCCTCTTGTATTGAATCATTTTGATTACCTTACAGTTACTTGAACATGGTTCGAGTCCTTCGTAGGAAATGTCCCAAAGAAGTCCGTGTAAAAAACAACATCGCGCTCAAAACTTGTATCGTGCAATGACAATTCAAAGTCAAGTGAAGGCGAAAAAAGGCGTCCCAAGGTTAAGAAGATGGTCATGTTCGCCACCTCCATGCCGACACAATTGCGGGCTCCGCGCCCAAAATTGTTGACGTACTTACGTAGGCGCTTTCGCTCGCCCTCATCAAGCCATCTTTCTGGCAAAAATTTGTGGGGATCGCGGAAAATGTTGGAGTCGAGGTAAACATCGAACGTTGAAGTCGAGACCGTGACATTCTTCGGAATCACTTTGTCTTTGTACAGGATCTCATTATCAGGATCTGTCCTAGGCAAACGACCAGCGATAGGGTGATTGAGACGAAAGGCTTCCTGTACGACTGCATTAAGATAACTTAATTCCCGCAATTCATGGGAACTAGGCAGCCGGCCAAGGCGAACTTCGCACTGTCCAATTTCTTCTCTCAGTCTCTTGAGCACTTCAGGATGGCTTAATACCATGTATGCCGCACACGTCATGGCTTGACCAGTCGTGTCGATTCCCGCATTGATGCATAACCAGACCTCGTTTACCACTCGCTGAAGTTGCTTCTCATGTGCTGGAAGATTGGAATCAAGAATACACTCAACAGTAGATCGGAATCGAGTCTTTTCGTCTGCAATAGTGGCCTTTCCAGACGTAGATGAAGCCGTCATTATTGCCAAATACTGGTCTGCGACGCTCTTGTCGATCAACTATCCATTGGAAAGACACGATCCATGTCAGATGTAGTAAATTTGGTAAAGACGAGCAAGAGAGACTTACATTCCTGAAATGCAGGACACGCACCATGGCAGGACTAGCGGGCTCCGCACGTTTGGCCCAGCGTGCTGGTGCTCGCATCACCCCAAAGAACCAGTGCCCGATATGACGACTGATCATATTCATGCGCCCCAAGGTTCTTGCAAAGTTGAACATGTCACGTTCAAAGTCTCGGGTATCGACAAATCCAAAATTGTATCCGAGATTTGTTGTACATGTTACGTCAATAGCTAGACATCGCATTGCATGTCCCACTGCAGATATAGAAAAGCATCACTAGTCAGCAGTCATTAAAAATTGGGGGAGGTTGGAATTAGCTTACATGTTATTACACTACCAATGCCCTTCGCAGCTCGGAACCTTGCAAGCAGTTTTTGAACTAATTTCTCATATAGGTTCTCACGAGATTTTATAAGAGATGGAGCGAAAATGGGAAGTATAGCCTCACGTCGCATGCGATGGAGCTCGTGTGGACTAGTCGTGCATAGTCAGAAAATGTTCAAATGGAGAAGAAGAGGGCATTAGTGTAAATTGCATTACCCAGCTTGTAGTACCGAATTCGGTGGGCCGTTCGACCGGTAATACCACCATGGTCTGGTTCCTTTCCTAGAAAGTTTGTATGACTCGCTGAAATCTGAGTCTCGAATGTGCAACTCCCAGGGATTTATCCGTACAATGGATCCTAGTGGCAAGCAAAAAGTCATTAACACATTTCTAGGCGAGAAGAAGCCAAAAAGCCATGTAAGAATAACGTTACTCACCCCATCTATCGTGCATGCGATTGATCTCAGACCAGTACCTGCCACCTCCATCTTTGAAAAAGTCAAAATAGAATTCGTAGGCAAAAGTCAGAGCGGCAATTTTGGGGCCAGGAAAGCGTGAAAGCGGGCTGAAATACAAACGATAGACGACGATGGCGGTAAAATAAGTGATTGATGCGAGAAAGCAGGCGGCTAACAACATCGTATTGTGGGTTTGGAAAAGAGATTTCTTGTCTAGGTCAGCAGAAGGGGTTCTGACTAATTACGCAATTAGCTGTGGGTTTTCAAGCTGGTACATCTTGCCTATTGAACGCGTATGTGTCTGTATAATATTGTGGAGACTGGAACTACTGGTTGGTCAAAGTTCTATCACAAGTCGATTTTGATGCTTCGTCATGCATCTCAACAAGATCGATGTCTGTATCACCCGACATCGGGCCGACATGAACCTTGCAACAGCACAGCATGATGTGGTGATAAGTCCTGTACATGTATACTGGTACGCACTACCACCCTTCGTAGGAGTAAGAATAGTGCTTATTTTTTAGTGTTCGGCGGAATGTCGGTTGCGATGTCAGCAATGCATCTTGTGGGTCCATAGTAGCTTTATTCACCCATGCCACACACACACACAATTTATTTACGCCCGGCGGCTAAGCCAAAAGGGCTACTAACACTAGTCTAACTTTACATTTTCTATACCACGTCTTAGTCTCCTTAACCTATATGTTTTCTTTAGCCCCCTTCTTTATATAGCTTATTATCTAAGTTAAAGCTCTTACTAATATTTTAGCACGCTTCTTCTCTATCTACTGTTATTTCTTATTAAATACTTATAGGTTAGTATTGCTAGTAGTAGACTAGCTTAGAGTTAGCATCTTTAAAAGATTCTCGAAGTATTCAACGTCCTATCTTTAGCGGCTAAAGCGCTGTCTACTATGGGTTACACGAGGCTGCTGATAGACTGGCAAATGGGTCTCCACCTCGGGATCTCTTTTTCCACCATAGCTCTCTCTGTACTAGACCGAATTAGACAACTAATAGTTTATTTCATAGCCCTAATTTAGATCTATAACTAACTAATAGAAAGTAACACGCTAGCTAGAGTAGGTAAAAAGTTATTAGCCTACCCACCTTGCCAAGACTTGGGTCTCCACATGCTAGCCCGAAGAGGTATAACTTCTTACTTATTCTAGCTAGCGTGTTACTTTCTACTAGATAGTTATAGATCTAAGCTAGGGCTACAAAATAAGCTATTAGTTGCCTAATTAGGTCTAGTACGGAGAGAGCTATGGTGGAAAAAGAGATCCCGAGGTGGAGACCCATTTGCCAGTCTAGCTGCTGATAAGCTCCTGTTATTATTATTGATTAACGTCCTATGTCAGCCGGAAGGCTATATAAGACGTGATAAGCTCCTGTTAGTATCTATGGTTTACGTAGTAGTTAGCTCTTAGTTTGCATCAAGTCTTCGTGTTGCTATTGTGAATCGTATCGTCGCTCGCACTGCGTCCATGTCTAGCGCCCATCTCGCGTCGTCTGTCGCTGTAACGGGCTGAACGCCCTTCGCCTCCCATACTCGTCTACGACCTCGTTTACTCCACCTGCCCGGCCTGATTGTTACCCTAGCAACCAGCATTGTATATAGATAGCTACGTAGCCGAGAGCTTAGCTCTCTATCGAATACAATCTTGTTACCTTGGCCTGTCCGATCGTGCTCCCGAGCTTAAGACTACCCTCCGGGGTCGAGCCCCTTACAGTCGCGGCTTTGCCGCCCAGGTAGAATGACATATTTCCTCTGCGTATTTGTGTGCACTGCAGCTGACCCATGCTACACTTTCATGCAGTTGCAGCTTCCAGTTTCTGTAAGCAGGCCACCTCTAATCCTACGCTAAGCCTCTATCGCTTAGTGATAATATTACCTAAATAGTACTAGTTTCTATTAGTAATGCACCTTTTTCTAAGCTTTATGTTTAATTAATATATAATATTAATATAGTATAACTTCCTTTAAAAAAGCGTATATAAGGTGGGTCTATGTCCTGCGTAGGATAATAATTAGGCTCAGTGCGCAAAGCGGAAGCTGCAAGTGCATGAGAGTGTACGGAGGTGACTGTCAAAAGTTCTTGCTAGCGCCACGCTAAGCCGCTAGCCCATTAGCCTAACTATTCTTAGCGCCTATACTAATTGTTTAAAGCTAGCGATAGCCTATATACTTATTTTTTTAAGTGTTTTTAATCCACTATAGCTTTAAATACAGATATATCAACCTACTCTTTTATTATTATATTAAAATTTCTTTTTAGTAGTAAATCTATGTAGAGAATTATAATAATAATAAGAATATTACTATATATAATTAACTTGGTTTATAGTAGAGCTTACTAGTAAGACTTCAAGCTTAATATACGCCTAATTAAGATTCTTCTATAGTACTTCAAAGATACTTTATACGTAGGCTACTTTTATAAATAAAAAAAAATATATAATACTACTCTTAAAAACGTACGCTATAATAAGTATAAAAGAGAGAAGAGCTACGCTTATATTACTAGTAATCTTAGTATTTATAGCTATAACGTCTTATCATCTACTGTATTACAAGTTTTTTAAATAGCTAATTATAATAAGATAAAGCTAATAAGAAAGCTTAAGTTAATAATAAAAATAAGATAAGAAAGACTTAAGGAGTATTTTACTTATAAAGATCAGGCACTTAAAGATTAAAAACCGTTATTTAGTTAGATAGAATTTTTATTATTCTTAACTACTATTATAGTAGCTATTATATATAGTAATACCTAACTAAAGTTTCTACTAAAAGTGTTATTTAAGAGTAGTAAAAGAGGTGTTAAGGAGTGGTAGAGCTACTTGATATATCAGCGGTAGCTCTGGTTGATCGATAGATCTAGCACTCGGCAGGTATTTGCTAGGGGAGAGGAGATTGAGTAACTGAAGTAAAACTGTGATCTGATTGACTGTCTAGTAGACTGTTGGGTTTCCTCTAGTTCTATCTACTTAGCTGATCTACTACTATATATATTTGACTATATCAGATTCTAGAAGAATCTGCCACGTAATAGCTTGCGTAATCTTTAGCGTAATAGATATCTGTTTGATCGATCAGATGTATGTTGATCGATTATTACAGTCTTTTATCACAGTCTTGGCAGACTAATGATAGAATCTAGGTGTTAGCCAAGCACCCGGATTCTGCTAGAGATCAGCTGACTAGCTTATATCTCTAACAAGAGGTACTATAGATTAATATTCCTACGCTATTTTATATATAACTATAAAAGCTTTTACTATGTTTACAAGCCTGAGACTACGTAAAAGAAAAAAGACGCTACTTTTTAAATTAAAGAGTTAAATCAAGCTTTAAAGCCTTTTATAAAAGAGGTGTAGAAGCTTATAATAAGTATAAAAAGGCTTAAACTATGTAATAAGCCTAGCAAAGCTCTATAATAGAGATAGATAAAAGAGATAAGTAAGCTATCTTATAAGAGTAGTTATAGTAGTATTAATTAGTAGTATCACTAAACTTAAGTTCTGATTTTTGTAACGGGCTAGGTAGCCCGCTACAGTACAGATAGCGGTGGCTATCTTATGTATCAACTACGCAACGATATCAGCAGCTCTGATATCTTGTGCCAGCCTTTTTGGCGCGGTGGGCGCGTTGTAGTTGCGTGCGCAGTCTAATAGGACTCGACCCGTTACAATTTTAAAGCTAATCCTTTTTATAAAAAAGTGCTAAGAAGAGAAACTATGTATCTTTTTTTAAGAAGATAAGGCACTTTTATATACTTACTACGCTTAAAGAACTATATACTAAAACGCTAAAGTAGAGTAGCTTTTATAGCTAAGTAACTTACTTAATCTTAATACTATCAAAGTATCTTAGCTATAGCTTGAAAGAAAAAATAATAAAAAAGCATACTTAGAAGTTAATGAAAAAACATAAAAGTATAGTAATAGTGCTAAAATAAGCTACTTTAATACTAAATTTAAGCTTAGATAGAGCGTATTTTATTTTATATTTAAGAAATTATTAAACTTAAAGGTAGTAATAAGTATAAAGAGGGGCGGCGGTACTAATCTATATAGCTTTGGCCCTATTTTTAGCGGTAATTAATGCACCCCTGTTAGCAAGAACTTTTGACAGTCACCTCCGTACACTGTGCAGATGAGATATCAAAAGTGGGCACTACTATTGCCCCACTTCCATCAGCTACTCAGCCCCTCTGCTGACGCTTGGTTCTTTCGGCTGACGTTAAGCACGAGCCAGTTTCCTGCGAGTGTTATGATTGCAGAGCGTTCTCAGTAAATCCATTGATCGTACCACTCGCGTCGGAAGCCAGAGCAAATCATCTACTCGTGAAGCTCTCCGGCTAGATATTCACCCCTATTGCGAGCTTCTGACGACTTCTCTGCTGATAGCAATCTCAAATTTTGTTCCTTTACTCCTTGGCCACTACGTGCCTTAGCGAACCTTTTCCATCCTTTTATTGAATTCGCGTCTATCATTGCAATCGCTAAACCAAACATGAGCACAGGATCATCGGCGTTGGAGACGCTTGGTGAATCATGGAAGGTGGTTGCAAAGGTGTTGCGGGCGGTACTGATGAAGGCTTGTATCAACCCAAATATTTTCAATCTATCAACGTTTCTTGGCTTGATACTTGCGTACCTCATCAGCATTTCCATTTACCGCATTTGGTTCCATCCGCTCAGCAAATACCCGGGTCCACTACTTTGCAAACTGACAAGTCTTGTATGGACATATCATTTCATCCGAGGATCCATCCTCATGTGGGAGCAAAGAGAGCACAACAGCTACGGAGAGATAATTCGACTTGGACCGAATCGTCTCTCCTTCATCAACCCTACGGCTTGGAAAGATATTTATGGGCATAAACACGGAGATGCCAAGCCCAACGTCAAGAACCTCGACCGGGCTGCGAAAAGTATGCCGAGCGGCCGTTTGCCTATGGCCCTAGAACCTAGCCTGGCCGGCCATGCAGCACAAAGGAAGCAGTTTAATCCTGCATTTAGCGAGAAGGCATGGAGAAAACAAGAGGTCATGGTTTCCAAGTATATTGATCAGTTCATACGAAGAGTGAGGGAGGAAATTGCCAAAAGTCCGAACGGTGGAGCACAGTTAGACTTTGGCAAACTGTACAATTTCCTCACGTTTGACGTCATGGGAGATTTGACCTTTGGGGAGGGACTCGGACAGCTCGAAACTGGAATTGAGTCCTCGTGGGTCCATGCAGTATTTGTCATGTATAAGCTATTGAGTATGTTCTCAAGTCCGCTCTGATTTGCAACAACTGTTACTGACACCTTGTTTGATTCTAGATAAGAGATCTGTCATCAAGTCGTATCCATTCGGTGGTCTTTTGTTCGACCTCTTTGCACCCAAAGGTTATCTGCAAGACTCGGCAATGCATATAAAGCATTGCAATGCTCTTGTTTCAAAGCGACTAGAGAAAAGCAATGAAGAAAGGCCAGATATCTTTGGATACGTCCTCAATAATTCTGGAGAGATCATGTCTCGCCCACTAATGAATGCAAATGCAAACATGCTGATGGTGGCTGGGACAGAGACAACCGCTACCACGCTAACGGCTGTTACTTACTTGCTGATAAATAATCCTGAAAAGATGAAGAAGCTCACTCTGGAAGTCCAGGCCTTTTCGGGAATATCTGAGTTGACCAGCCCTGTCCTTCAGAAGATGAGATTTCTGAATGCTGTCATTGAGGAAGCTTTGAGAAGTAAGTATACATCTCCGTTTTAGGATTACATGTGATGGACGTCTATAGATAATTACTAATTATCTATCTCGCAGTGTACCCGGTTGGCCAGGTTGGTCTAGGTTCACAAAGAGAAATTGCCGTTGGTGGAAATGTGGTGTGTGGTCAATTTCTGCCCGGAGGGGTATGTTCACTATATAGTTCTATGGAGTGGGTGAGCTAAACAAGAGTGACAGACTGAAGTAGCAGTCGCCGCCTGGGCAATGAACAACTCGTCTCTTCATTGGAAAGATCCTGACAAGTTCGTTCCGGAGCGATGGCTTCCCGATGAGCTCGGATTTTCTGAGTACCACCAATACGATAACCGCGAGGCTTGGCTCCCCTTTGGTACCGGGCCTCGGACGTGCATTGGTAAAAACATGGCTTTGCATGAGATACGTGGTGTACTAGCCAAGCTTGTGTACTGCGTTGATCTGTTGCCCCCTCAGGAGAATGTAGATTGGCTCCAGAACAAGAGGAATAACATCTGGGCAAAAATTCCCTTGGACATTTGTGTGAGACTATCGAAATAATACTTTATTCTCGTTAGTCCCAGATAGTACTCGGGCCCAACGGCTGCTGTAGTAGAATTTCAATGAAATTGCCCGTGCGGAGCACGGGCCTATCACCTCAACAACAATATCACCTCAATAATAATAATATTTTTTAATTATAAATTAAAGTTAAATAGGTAACGTATTCCATCACTGAGCGGGCCACATCACCGAGTGTGCCACTTTCTCTTAGCATCACGAACTTCATGTATAAAAACTTAGATTACTCTATACTAGCTATAGATGCTTTATACAACTTACTTATACCTAAAAAAAATTTTCTTTTATATCTTTGTAGCACGTATAAAAGTTATAGCCTATCCTCCTATAGGTTCTAAAGTGCTGTTAACCTAGTAGGGCCCTTTCTTGACAACCCTTACTACGTGCCTTCTTTAATGTTGTACAACTAGCAGAACTACTTTTAGCTACCTATAATGCCCCTACACTAAAGTCTAGTGTCCTACCTGTCTAAATTTGCTTTCTTTTGCGCCCTTAGCGCTTTATTACTACTACTATTTACTCTTTAAGCTCTCTTACGCGGGCCTTTATAAGCACATTCTTATATAGCGTCTCTTTAGCCCCTTTATTATTATTATTATTATAATTATTATTATTATTATTATTATCATTATTATTAT